TTGATGTAGTTGAAGGGCAATTTCAGAAGCCTTAGGTTAAAAAAAATCAATTAATTAAGTGTTTCTTCAGTTTCTTAGGGCCTTATTTAACTAAAAAAGATATCACCAAACCACGAAACAACTAAATAATCACCTCCTCTTCTTACTAGTAATTATCCCATCTGTCTCCATTGTCTACATGATGTAATTCATAACTTGGGAATCTTCCATTAATCCCACTAATTGCCCACCTTGACAGGTGAAAGTGATACCTGATGTGTCCGTCAACACTGTAGCCAGTACAATCACTATATCAATCTACAACAATACACTTAATTAAGTCCACAACCTGTCGCGGCTCACCTGGCTTCTAACACCTTGATGATACACCATACAGGTAGAACAATGAACAGGCTTTATATCTTTTTATCACTGGTGCTCCTTTTAGGTGAATAAAATAGGTTAATAATTAATGTCTGAGCAACATTAAGCACCATCAGAATATATCACGCAAGGCAATAAAAAGGAATTTCAGCCTAAATTAGCAGAATCTAGTCTATTAGTTTGGGCCAAACCTTCCTGGTTATCCTATGTAATTGAAAGTTATCTATTTTCGTGCTCTATAGACAGGGAAAATCTGCTTTAGATTACAAAAATGTATTCTGCAGATTTATTCAGTTGAACTATGATAAAAAAGTAATGTTTGACTAACATCATGTGACTTTATAGGCAGAATTCATTTTATGACACCATAAATGCAAAAGATAAAGTAATCTTTTACTTCTGGAAGTGCCTTGGCATTTGGCAAGACTTTTGTTTAAAAAAAAAAGGAAACAGAAAATTGAAGATGCAGTCTCTTCTGTATAACGTTTCAAATTTTAAATGTGTCGATCTCAACAAGATTTTAGTTTAAAACATAATAAACTTGATAAAGACCTTTTATTGTTTCTTCCTCTTAATTATACCAGTTTAAATTCATATTTATTGTCTTCCTTACATCATCTTAATCTCAACGTTAAAGAGATGGCAACAGATTTGATAAAGACTTCATTTTATTTTATTTTCGCTTGCTAAAATTTGCCCCCATAAGTTGATATACTTTATTTGGCAAAACTTCCTCATCTAATCATGGATATCAGGGTGTCATATGATAACCTATGTCAATGTTTGAAATACTTTCATCAAACTGTTTGCTTTTACACATACCTGTGATACCATAAAAGAACAAGCAGTATATATTTTCACAGGTTCTCTCAATTAAATACACAGGATTAACAACATTACAGCAATATTCATTTGGGTACTAGTACATATCCCTGTGCATTTTCATTATTTCAGGGCTGACAACATTATACCAGTTAATTCTCGAAAATGTTAATTATTTCTTCAAATTATTGTTAATTGGCATTCATACCTGATGAACAAGTTTTATTCCTGGCATAAAAGTCAAAATTAAGTTTTATTTAACTTCCTGAATTGGTATAAATGCACAGAGCTTCCAACCCTATCAGTATATGTATTATGGCCTGCAGATGAGGGCAACTCATGATAATTGTGTTCTGTTTCGAGCAGAGCACGACAGTTCAAGTCTCACCTTGGCTCAGTAACTACCATTATTATCTATCTTTACAGTCATATAGACCACACTGACATCAGCATGCAGCTCGTAATGTTAAGTAGCATGAAAGAAACCCAGACGGGGATCGGTGTCTTAAAAAAAAAGACCAGGTAAGTAATTCCATAAAGTCAGGTGCAAATCCCCTTCTAATCTGCAGTTTAGAAACTATAGACCTTACGTAATTCTCTAACCAATGTCTAATGGTCTAAATACTTTATTCTAATTCAGCCGAGTTTGATTACACAGCAAATTCTTGTTTCACACGCCTCGTATTGACATGATATTCATTTTAATGCGTTACAGCTTTAGACTTGGAGTCACCGTACTAGTAGTTTGTCAGCTGCATGGTCAGCTTTGTCAGCAACTGGACATCCACTATACAACGCGAACAACCCAAACAGTCCACTTACCATTGAAGGACAGATTAAGGCAACTCTTTCACTTAATATTGACATGTTAAAGGAGCCAAACTTACCTAAGTCGTCTCTGCCGTTATGCTATAGCGTACGTCTCTATTCGTCATGTTGTGACACTCATACCTGGAACCCGCTTGAGGACGAGTCTAACTTCCACCGGGGAGGGGAGGGATCAATACGGGACGTTTTTATAGAAGTGTGTAAAATTCCGAAAACTTTTCAAACGTTTACCATTTTTAGGTAGTCCAACCTAAAAAAGCTCATATACCTAAAAAGAATTTAATAAGTTGGACAGAAGACCAAGGCGACTTTTGGTTTCAAATAGTTTTTACTGCACCGACCCAAAGCTTTTCCCCCTAGGAGAGGATTTGTAACCTTTGGCCTCGTTATCGCAGGGTGTGTGTGTTCAGTGGGTGTGTGTTGGACAGAGGTTATTGTCAGGTGTTTTTGTTGTTGCAGTGGGTTATTATATTTCGAAAGTAAAAGAAGTAAAAATAAATATTAATATAGTTTAGATTGACAAAGTGTTTATTTTAAAGTTGCATGTATTGCTCCATTCCCGATTCGTCCGTGAAGATTTTATCGACCGATTTTATATAATAAACAGCTGTGATTGATCGCCGTCTTACGCTCAGTTCAGCTAGGTCTGTTTTGTGCTGGTGCCCCGAAGGTAAACGTAGTCCGGTGTATAACACATATTTTTCGATGATCTTTCAACTGGCAAATAAGAATGGAGTGTCACTGAGAAAAAAGAATCAAGTACTGCACATTTTTTTTCGGTAAAGATGTTTTAAATAACTACTGTATAGTGTAAAGGATAAGACACAAATATATAATAATAATAATAATCATCATAATAAAATTTGGAAATCCTCTGAGATTTCACATGAGAACATCCTCGTGGGTAGCAGTCTGGGAAAAGTCATTTTCCTAATAGGGCTAAGGTGTAGATTTCTTTTGCTCGTTTTCACTGTTTAAACGTCGGGGCAGGGGGGGGGGGGATAAATTTACAAGAACTGCTTATGTGTGACAAAAAAAAGGGTGTCAGCTGCAAATAAGTGAAAACCTGAAAGTCATGTACTTTCAAGGATCTTGTTCAGCGTAACAAATATTTTAAAACAGTTAAGTCACCTTTTTGATTTGTAAAATTAGATCTTTTTGCAATTAAAAATGAAAAAAAAATGGATGATGGTTATGCTACTTTTTTGTTTTGTTTTAATTTGTTTTTCTTTTATTATTCTTTGATTGATCATTCAATGGTGATTATATATACCAGGTGGAGTCTAGTAAATACAATATTGCCAATGCAATGCAATGCAATAGAAATTGCAATACAGAAAAGTGGGCAATTTACATATTTGAAAGGTGGTTAATATTTTAACTGTACTATAATTGTTTGGTGAAATCCATGCCCAGAAATTTCTTGCAGTTGNATAAATTTACAAGAATTGCTTATGTGTGACAAAAAAAAGGGTGTCAGCTGCAAATAAGTGAAAACCTGAAAGTCATGTACTTTCAAGGATCTTGTTCAGCGTAACAAAGATTTTAAAACAGTTAAATCACCTTTTTGATTTGTAAAATTAATCTTTTTGCAATTAAAAATTTTTTAAAAAATGGATGATGGTTATGCTACTTTTTTTGTTTTGTTTTAATTTGTTTTTCTTTTATAATTCTTTGATTGATCATTCAATGGTGATTATATATACAAGGTGGAGTCTAGTAAATACAATATTGCCAATGCAATGCAATGCAATGCAATAGAAATTGCAATACAGAAAAGTGGGCAATTTACATATTTGAAAGGTGGTTAATATTTTAACTGTACTATAATTGTTTGACGAAATCCATGCCCAGAAATTTCTTGCAGCTGTGTTCTTTTTCACAAAAATGACAATGTTTTAATATTTAGTTTTTCAAAAATGTTTATACTAATTCTATCTTCATAGTCTACATCAAAAAAAAAAAAAAAAAAAAAAAGAAAGAAAAAGAAATCTTGAAAATGGATATATCTACACCTTGAAGAACAAGTTATTGCCTTGCAAAATATTCAATTTTACTTTGATTTTACTTTTTATGCAAAATGGCTGTAAAAGGGGGTGTTTACACAATGATTTTAAGTGTACAATATGTACTACTTGCATGCCTGTTAGGAGCGTGGTGGGACAAGCCCACCCTATCTGTACAGGGTGTTTATAGCATCAGTCACTATAGCAAGTAGGAGCTACCACAATATACAACTGCTATTATCATTATTAATATAAATTTGAATAGTTGTAGAACATATAACATTTTATCTTTATTAATCCTAAAAAGTAAGCAAAAAGTAAGCATAGTAATTAAATATATTAATGCTATTTAGGTTGCATTTCTCATCCATATTTTTCTTTTCTGATAGCATGCACTACATGTGTACATGAAAATGATTTTTTTTTTTTTTTTGGAGCCAAGCCCCCCCCCCCCCCCAAAAAAAAAAAAAAAAAAAAAAAAAATAAAAAAAAAAAAAAAAAAAAAAAAAAAAAAANTGCTATTATCATTATTAATATAAATTTGAATAGTTGTAGAACATATAACATTTTATCTTTATTAATCCTAAAAAGTAAGCAAAAAGTAAGCATAGTAATTAAATATATTAATGCTATGTAGGTTGCATTTCTCATCCATATTTTTCTTTTCTGATAGCATGCACTACTTTTTTTTTTGAGCCAAGCCACCCCCCCCCCAAAAAAAAAAAAATAATAAAAATAATAATAATAAATAAAATAATGGTAATAAAAATGCAAGAAAAATTTCAAGTTTTCATTTGTACTTTTAGGTGCGTGGTGGGAATTAGCACCCCTGCTCATGAACTTTCTGAATACAAGGTAGTGAAGGTTGTCATAATGCAATACAACTGTTGAAGGCTTATAAATGACTCTCCTTGGAAGGAAGGCAAATGATAACACTTGTGGGGGGCAATCATATGAGACTATGAGAGGGTAACCAGTCACCTTTTCAACAATGCTAATGATGGTGTAAACAATTGAGCAGCTCTTCTTCATAAACCTGAGGGAGACTACAAACATGGTAATAGCCTAAAAATAATAGCCTAAAAAAGTCAACTGTCACAGTTAATTTGCAAATGTCAGTTATTCATTTAAATTAGATGCCTAAGAGTGCCTAATTTTATTGGTGAAATGATGCTTTTTTTTTTTTTTTTGCTTTATTTTGTTTCTATTTTATTTTTTTCTTCCATATTTAAGCATATGTTAACATTGTTTTATTATTATTTTTTTCTTTTTACATAGGTGGTACAGAGCCTCCCTTCTACTAGGCATACCCTTGTCTAAACCTCCAACATGAGCAAAAACACTACTGCTTGCTGCCAGTGTCCTCATAAGAACCAAATCGGTAGCACCTGCCTAAAAGATAGTACAGGAATGGTGGTGGTGAGCAGTAATGAGAAGAAGAGGAAGATGCCAACCCTGGTAATAGAGACATATTCCAAAGAAGTGTTTGTTGTTGCTGGATTTTTTGCAGCTTGTGTTTTACTGTACCAGTTAGCATTGGCACCTGGCTAGTATACCACCTTCACATTGTAACTGTTGATCCCAAGAGCAGGTTTGTCACTTTAGTCCCAACCACTTTCATACTCAAATACATTGGTTCCAGTTGTGGTTAAGAGGACTAGAAAAAGCAATAAGTGCAAAAAAATGTGCAAAACTATGCAATATTTACATGGGTGGTAAATCGACTTGTAATAGTTACTATGGGCATAGCTACTGCCTCATAATGCAGAGGGCCTTACATCCTTAGCCTGGAAGGAATGAATGAGGGTTTTCTTACAACAATAACAACAAGACAAAAAACAATAACAGTGAGGATAGCATAAATAAGAATTGTGTTAGCCTGCAATGACTGTCATTTAAGAAAGTCAGCTGGGCTGTGACGAACGAATGAAGGTACTCTTAGAAGTACTACAGTGACAAAAACAGCGATAACTGTGAGGTTAGGATAATAAGTAAAGATTGTGGCCTTTTAAAATGATTGCTATTTTTTTTATTTACTTGTATAAAGCCAGGTGGACTAGTATATTATTTTATACAAAGTTGAATGGTCATTATTTTTTTAGTACAATGGAACTAAAACAGCATAGTAACTATGCAATGATTTATTTAAGGATAGCTGGCCTATCTATTCTTCAAGAACAGCTGGCCTATCTCACTTATTACTCAAGGGTAACTGCACTATCACCTACTTATTTAATCCAACTATAATGTAAAGCGACTGTACAATGATTCATTCAGGAATAGGTAATTGAAATGTAAAAGTAACTGTGTAATGATTTATTCTAAAATAGTTGAACTGTTATTTATTTATATGAAAAGATAGTTAAATTATTATTTACTTATGAAATAGACTAAAAAATAATAGATTTCGGTAGAATAAATATGCTGCAAGTACAACTTGCATTTTCTTGTTTAATTTGTAGTTAAATATTATTAGATTCAAAAATAAATAAAAATTTAAAGTAAATTGAATTTTTTTTTTAAATTCCTATTTATTTCCATAATCTTTGGGGGGGGGGGGTATTTTATATTTTTCTCGACATATGTAATAAAACGATTTTATGCTGGGCAACTGCCAAAAAGATATGAGGGGCAAATATATTTGGAAATAATGTTAAGCTCTTATTCTGCACGAGATTATTTGTATGTTCGGTGCCGATGCCGCCGAATTTCTATTCATCCCCTCACTTTTCTGCACGTTGTGTTAGCCTGCAACGAACCCCACGCCTATAGGGAGCGATGGTCGGCATCGCGTTCGAGGCCTGTCGTTCCGGACCCCCCTTCAAATAATCCTGGATCCGCCCCTGAAACCCATCAATTTAGGATATTTATCTTTAATAAGAATATAAATATGTATCGGCTAAAATATTTGTTTTCAAAGTATTTTCTATTGAAGGTAAGGGGGTGGAAGTAGGGGAATGATCAGACCTTCAATTACCCATTTTTTTACAATCCTTCGTTACTTGCCATAGATTGACATCACTAAATAGGCTTCATCGTTAAGTAGCAAAATCACCTATTCTACGCACATTGCACCATTGAAATCGAAGAGTAATTAACGGTACATGTTTCATCAACTGATATTTCTTTAAGTCCAATATTTAATTTCTCAGATCATTGGCCTTACCTCCATTTTCAGAGGGGGTACCACCTGTATCTCTCTGCCGTCTGTCCATGGTCTGGCCACCATATCCCACGATGTCCCCGCTTTGTTTTCTTGCTGCATATATAGCGGGTATTGAACAGGTAGTCTAAGTATCGCTTACATTAAATCCCATGTGGTAAAAATGAAAACTCCACGCCAGTCATAAAAATATGCTTCGTATAAGCTGTGTAATTTCATGTTAAGGTTATTTAATCATTTTGGCTTTTTACTTTTTTACTTCTCACCCCAACCCCGAACCCGTTGAGGCAGATTGTTTAACTCCATCTTCAGCTAAAAGTATACTTTTTCATTTTAGTTATTAGACTCAGTCTGATAAAGTCCTCTTCATTATATGGTTGTTTGCTTTTTGTTAATCTTTTTTTTAAATAAAAGACCATTTGGGTAATTGTAGTAGATGGAGAATATCAAAACGTGGCGTTTTTTCTATAAGTTTACCTATTACCATGAAACCTCCTTGCATGCAGGTCATATGTTGCCCTGAACAAACAACCTTCTTCTGGGGTTCACCCCCTTCCTTTCCGACCTGTTTATTTTGGTAATTAAACAACATAAAAGATCACAGGAGTTCTGAACAGTGATAAGGCGGACTGTGGAGCCCTGTATGCCATCTTCTTTCAAGCAAATATAAGAAGTAGTAAAATATTTAAGCAAATGTAAAAACTAACTAAAACATTAAATCACACTAAGTATATTATCATTTCGTTATCCTTTCTCCTTGCAAAATAAATGCTACCAAAAAAAAACTGGACAACTCCACATAAATGTTTACAACAAAAATGTATTATCACTTTATCATTATTATCATCATCTGTGTAACAAGAAATGGAATGAAAGTTTCTTCACAGTGCATTGTGGATCAATGCATATTGTGGATAAGTGTTCCAGTGTAAGCGGACAAGGTCGTCCATTGATGGCCTGGGGCAGGTTAGTAAACTTCAGGTTGATATCATGTCAACAAGATGCAAGGAGACTGTCAATCATAATTGGGGGAGAGGCATGCGTGGGTTCCCTCTAAAAACTAATAACATTGATTCTTCCCTCCCAGGTAAATGCGTTTTTTTTTCTGTTTAAACAATGAATAGGTATGAAAACGCTGAATGCATTTCAAACGTAGGTGTACATACAATGCAATAATGAAATATGGGTCTCACTCTCATACGACACCCCAGAGTTCAAACTGACAGGATGCTGACGACAGCAACGCCCCCAGCCGACAATCTAAGATTGGAAGTCTAAGAGCGGGCAATTGTGAAACGGGATGGACATGTTGCGTTTCACTCCAGAGGAGTACAAGGGACGCGAAGTGAGAGCGATTATCTTCGGGCAACCGCCTTCAAATCTCATGTGATCCTATGCCAATGCATCGAACCTGAGGATAGTTTCTTTACTAGCACAAAACATCGAATGTTTGCTCTTTTCCCCATGGTGTACTTCTTTGAATTCGACCCTTCAATACATGCGAACTCGTCGCTCAGGGAAATGTACATGTACAAATAACACTCAGCTTTTAGCCCGAACGTCGAATAACCGCCGCAGAAAAACATTAATCGTAAATGGACTGAAATCCAAGCTACTGGAGATGGGTAAGTGCCACCATGTCATACTCTCTTTTCATTTCTGTCATATTCCTCTTACGCCCATGTTTCTAGGTCGTTTTTGAAAGTTGAATGCCCTTTGAGGCTAGAACCAAAACCTTCATATACCCAATTTAGGTCACGCTTGTTTGGATGTCGTGTTTCTCTTCTAAGGCTGATGTGCATTTTCTCTCAAGTGTGAGTAAGTGATTTCCCCTTTTTATGTACAGACACAGATGTGTCTGTACATATAGCCATCACCTGCGTCTGTCGTCGCCATCGTCGCCGTCGCTGTCGTCGCCGTGCACTTTTACCGATAACACGATTAGTGGAAAACTGTTTTTCATTTCAGCTTGAAACTTAAAGAATTGATGAATATTTATAATACGCAGGTCAAGTTCGAAAATCAGCATGATTGGGTCACTTGTAGGGAAGTTATGCTGTTTTTTCACTTTTTATTCAGCATATATGCAGCACCGATAACACGATAAGTGAAATACTGTTTTACCTTTTGGCTTGAAACTTACAGAACTGATGAATATTCATAATACCCAGGTCAAGTTCGAAATTCAGCATGATCCGGCCATTTTTAGGGAAGTTAGGATTTTTTTTTTTCAAAATTTTCAGCATTTTTATAACACGGATAACAAGATAAGTGTAAAAATGTTTTTCCATTTGGATTGAAACTGATGAATATTCATAATACGCAGGTCAAGTTCATAAATTGGCTTGATTGGACTATTTTTACAACAGTTTCGCTGTCTTTTTCCCTTATTCAGCATATATGCAACACTGATAACACATTTTAAGGAAAACCAATCAGCCCTTTGTCTTGCAACTCACAGCAGTGATTAGTCTGACTAGTATACAGATCAAGTTTGAAAATAAGCTTGATCAGTTAAGTTTTGATGAAGTTATTAGCCTTTTTATGTATAAGTGTTTTTTTCTTCAGATTTAATTTTTAGGCATGTTAACAGTCTCATTATGGGACTAATTAGATATGTAAAAGTGTTGTTTTGACGTTTTCTGCTTCTTAACAATATTGTTAGTTGATTATATAAAAATGACTGTAAACCTGTTATCGTGCATTGTGTAATAAAGTATCAAAAATGGAAAGGAACTCATCATTGCAGTTTGTCAGATTCAATCATTCACTATGTTCAGAATCTGCGAATGGAGCAAATTGGACATTTAAAATTGTTCTTTTGATATTTTTCCTATGTCAACAATTTTCCTAGTTGATCATTTATAAATGACAGTAAATTGATTATTTTGTTTTATGTAAAAAGGTGTTGAAAATGGAAAGAAAATCATTTCAGTACAGTTATCTCTTGTTTACATTTTGGCATTTTGAATGTGTGACTCTGAACTTCCATGGTCTTGAAGACCCTTCCATATCACATTTTCTGAATATTCATGAAACTCTTATTATTTTTTTTTTTATAAAAAATTGATGGTCATTATGCTGTTAAGTATTATGTTATATTGCATGAAAGTTGAAGAAGTAAAAGTTGTAGTAAAACAAAATATATTATATTTCTGTGAGTTGTTTACACTGTTTAAACTTAAGTTGGATGATACATGTCATGGTTATGCAGCTAGACTGAATGGCAGCTTTAGTGGAATATTTTTGTAATTTTTGTTTTAATTTTTAATTTTTCAAACTGATGTTTTCAAGATGTGACTTATCACTCCCATCCACCAGGAGCCCTGTACTGTTACTTTGTAACATTTTCTATATTTTTTTAATTTACAAGAATGATTCTAAGGATTGACATACAGTCCAAATAAGAAAAACAACTCTATTAAATTATATATATATATATATATATATTCACTTTATCTCGTTCTGGCATTTCCAAAGTTTAACTCTTATCAGCCTGAAGCCTTAGGGACTATTTCCAGACCCTATCACACTAACTGTGGATCGATCTATCTCCAAGAGAATTCTTGCTAAATTGCAATCAATGTAAGTGGCTTAGCTGTTTGTCATGCCTACTGAAACTGGCATGCCAGAATCCTAAGCCGCTTAAGCTGAAAGCAATTTAGTGAGAAACCCCTTGGAGTTGGATTGATCCTGTTAGATTGATCTAGGTATGGGAACTCAGTCTAATGCTTGTTACACATTTTACTTTCATCCTAATCCACTGTTATGCAGAATTAGAATTTGATGTTGGCTATGCAGTTACAGTAATACATTAGTGCATCAAAATTGACAGTATCCTATTTCCTGCGTTTTTATTTTCTGGTTTTTGTCTGTACATTTGACAACTTTGCTGCCTTGTTTGTATTGTTTTTATGTACAGACACAGAAAAAATATAATCTAGTTTTT